GACCTCCAGCACTCCGTACCGCCGCTCGTTTCTTCCGTCGAGCTAGCTCAGAGCGTATGATGCTCCGTGAACCGTCGCTGCGTGTCCGGGAGAGGGCGGCGGCGGAGGTGGAAGAGCGGCAGAGTGAGTGGGCATACTCGAAACCGGTGGTGACACTTGACGTGGCGTGGAACTTGTCGTTCCTTGTGGTTAGTGCTGTTGTTTTGTGGGGTAGTAGGAATGAGGAGCCGTGTGTGCCGATCAGGGTGTGGATTTTGGGTTACTTGTTGCAGGGATTGGTTCATTCTTTGTTTGTTGTTTTGGAATTTAGAAGAAGGAGGAGGAATAACCGTTTTGAAGATGATTCTTCATCTTGGAGTTTTAGTTCTGAGAGTCGTTCTCACGTTGCTTCAGAGCAGTTTTTGGTGAATCAGGAAAATAGGTACAGACAAACTACTCTTTCAATTTCAATTTTCTTGTCCTTTTTGTTTATTTTCATGTATAATTAGTTTGTTTAGAGAATATCTTGTAATGTAAGAGGATATTGATTTGCTTGGGTCCTTAGATACCAAGCTTTTAAAAGAAATCATTCAATATATGCATTGCGTTATGCTATGATGCAGTTCAAATTTCATTGCCTACTAAATTATGTTTCATGATTCAGACTATCTTGTTGTGATTGTGGTTAAGGCTTTGCTATATTTAGCATTTGGTGGAATATATAGCTCTTTGTTTTTGGCCTTATACAAGTTTATGAACTGTATTGTTCATTAAATTTCAGTATCATCAAGTACATAGAGTCGGCAAATACCGTTCTATCATTCGTATGGTGGTTTCTTGGATTCTACTGGGTAACTGCTGGTGGTCAGAGTTTGACAAGGGGTTCACCTCAGCTTTACTGGTTAGTTACATCTTGGAATAGTATATATTATCGATAAAATCTTATGCTTTACGCATTTGTCCCATGTTTCTACCTTGTAATTGTGTAACCATCACACACGTTGTATTTTGCAGGCTCTGTATCACATTTCTTGCTTTCGACGTTGCGATTGTTGTGATTTGTGTTACTGCTGCGTGCCTCATTGGAATTGCCGTTTGCTGTTTTCTTCCATGCATACTTGCTATTTTGTATGCAGTGACTGATCAGGTAACACAGATCACAACAGTCTTTTTTTCAACTTCATCACACTTAATTTGATACTTAATGTGGCAACAGGAAGGGGCAACCAAGGAAGAGATTGACCTGTTGCCAAAATACAAGTTCAGAATAATAAAGGAACTTAAAAAAGAAGGTGATGCCCAAGAATCATCGAGAGGAGTGATGACGGAATGTGACAGTGGTTCAGCTTCTGAGCATATTATTGCCGTAGAAGATGCAGTAGGTTCCTAGTTATTAAATACCGATTATCTTTTTATAACATGTTCGAACCCACTCTTTTGCAGTCGGATGTCCATGTATAGCAGCTACCAACTGAGTTGGCTTAACGAGACTATCCTTTTATATTTTCTGATGGATGATCAATTTGCAGGAATGTTGTATCTGCCTTTCGGCCTATGATGATGAAGCTGAACTTAGAGAACTTCCTTGCAATCACCATTTTCATTGCACATGCATTGACAAATGGCTGCTCATCAATGCCACCTGTCCTCTCTGCAAGTTTAACATTTTGAGCACTGATAACCTCCAAGAAGTTTGAACTGGTTACTTGGTGCATTGACAAGGATGGCGGCACAACCCTTTTCATAACAATCTCAGATGAATTACTTATAAAAATTGAAGAGAAAAAGTAATTTTCATTTCTAATTTGGTTACTAAATGTTATACCAATTTCATTTTTTCTTTAAATGACAAAGTCATAAAGTAGAAAGAAAATATTAAAATCCATGTGTATTATAATATAATAATGTTAGTCTTGTAAATTCACATGATATGTGGTCTATGGAAATGTTTTTTTTTAGTCTATTAGTACATAAATAGTGCATGTTTGCATTAATGTTATGAGGAGCGAAGACTCAGCATCTGTTTTGTTAGAACAACTGTGGTTCAAAAGTACACAAATATGAAAAACACAAATAGAGAATGCGTGTTATTTGACTACAAAGTTTGACTAATATTTCTACAAAGTTGCTCTCTATTTAAAATTGTGTAAACAAACTATCCAATACGAAGTTTTCAAGATAAGACATTACAACCATACTGCTCTAAACCACTCTCAAATATGATGCTAAAAACATATAACAATTTATCAAACGAAAAGACAAATTTGAAAAATCAATTAATTTTTGCATAGATTTTTTCGAAGGTAATTTTTCTTAAAAAGAGAAATAATTTGAATGCAATAAGAAATATTTGGAAAATTAAAGAGTAGAAAGAAAAAATTAGATCTGAAAACTCCAAGAGCACAAAGAGACGAGAAAAAACTGTATTGGTTTGGTGTGGTTTTAGAAGTGATGGGAGATCTAACACATGAAAACAGACCCTCAAATGAAGAAACTGGGGGAAAATTTAATAGTGAAGGCTCATCAAATCTAAATGTTAAATCGTGAAAAAGAATGATCTATCAGTTTGCAATGTTTCTATATTTCTTAAAGTTCGAGACTATCTCCACTAAGGATGGAAAATGGACATGTCTGTCCCTTTTAATTTTGTTCTGCAAAAACTCGTAAAAAAACAAGGCAAGACAAACATAGTTAAGAGTGCAGACCTAAAATTTCGGCCCACTCCGAAAAAAATGAAGGTGGGGTGCGTGGATCCATGTACTTGCGGGCATATAATTAAGAAGTGATCCAAGATATTAAAGTTCATGGATAAGACTCAAGAAGCAACTGCTTAGCTTTTGATGATAAAAAATCATGAAATGATAATAACACTTGAAGTGGTTTTGCTGATAATAATACATAAAATCAAGCAATTACTAAAGTTAACTCAAGTGGTCAAAGATGTACAATATTGTTGATCAAGATCAAACTATCCTTCCGAATCAAACTAAAATTAACTTAAATGAAGAATTAGAGTTTATGATCATAAGTGATATCTTTATAACTCTCTAATAATGGTGATTAACTTGAAGACATCGTAAGCCTCATTCAATAGAAGATTCAATGTTCTAGTAAAGTGTTTATATGATTGATATATTCGACAAAGGAACTTGAAAGCTTCAGAGTGTGAAAAAGAGAAAGTGTGAAAGTTCGCCTAGTTGGTACGTCTGAAGATGAGATGGGATGGGGGGAGGTACCTGCAAGACACTCAGATGCTAAAGTAAGGTTCAGGGAGAGTGCTAGCAAGTATGAGAGTATGTGAGTTAGAATGACTCAATATCTGACCTCTCCAATGAGAGAGTATTTATAGCCCCCATCGTTGGGCCAAGGTCTTCAATATTGGGCTACGATGAGGCCCAGCAAAGTAGTCTGCCAGGGCTTACGTGTGTATGGAATCTAGCACGTGGACTCCTCCTGGTCAAATGTTCCGAGAGAACAGGTGTTGGACCTGTGATTCTCAGAGGGCAATTATAATGACAATGATGCGGACACGTGGGTCACGTTCCCCAACGAGCACATGGGGAGTTGCCTAACGATCTACAACTTAGGTTGCTTGTCTTTAGGCCTTATGCAAGGGTGTTGGATTGGACATCTCCAATGGTGGGGCAAGCACTGACCCAATTTAGATCAGGAGCCCCCCAAGTTATTGCCCTTAGGTGAAAGGATGATGACTTAAGTTCAGCTTTACAGTCGGGAAGAATTTGCTCGAGAAGGGAGATCGTAACCCTCTGACGGAGATGAGTTGTTTGTCTTTATTTGGGTCTATAATATTATCTCTGAATTTTGATGGTAACAAATAAGTATGATTGTGTGAAAAAAATTGTTGTACTAATGCTTGTTATTGTTGAGTACTTAAAAAACAGGTTCTGCTTCTGAAGGATGGTGGGCCAAGACATTAGAAGATAATTAATTCTGCTTCTACGCTACACAAATTCTGTTGAACAGTAGCAATACACTCCAGAAGACTCTGAAGTGTAAGTTTGATATTTGTCTAAAGAAATCAGTCAAATGATCTGAAGACATAAGTTACTACTTACGTCTAGATGCTGAAGACTCAAGCTTCTAAAGACAACATGTTCTAAAGAAACAGTCAGAAGATCTGAAGACAGAAGTTGTCACTTAAGTCCAGATGCTGAAGACTCATGTTTCTAAAAGACAGTGTGTTCCAAAGAAACAAAGTTAGAAGATTGAAGACAAAGATTCTACTGAAGTCCAGATGCTGAAAACTTAATTTCTAAAAGACAACTTGTTTCAAAGAAGACAAAGTTAAAAGATCTGAAGACAACGTTCCTAACTGAAGTCCATATGCTGAAGACTTTGTTTTTCTAATAATAAGGTTCTAAAGACAATGATTCTTAAAAAATCAAGTGCTAAAGATTCTAAAGACAAAATGTCTGAAGATTCTAAGACTTAAAGTTCTAAAGGTCCAAGATTATCTACAATAGATTCTCAAGACCAAATGCTGAAGACTCTAAAAACGTAACTCTTAAAACTCTGAAGACTTGAAACTCTTCTTAAAACTTTAAAAAATAGTTAAATTAGATATTAAAAATATATAAATAAAATTGATTATATAGCATGCATTGCATATATTTATCAAGTAACACTAATGATTTAGTGATAAGCAACATGTCCCAGATTCGAAACTTTAAAAAAAAAAATTTACGTGAAATGTATAAAAAAGAAAGAGAAAAAAAAAAAGAAATATTTCATCTCATACATGATCAAAAAATTATTTAAGTCTTTAAAAATTTTACAAAGTTAAATGATAATTGCATAGAGGTTGTGGGAGTGTGGGAGTGTGGGGTGTAAACGGAAATCCAAATATAGTTTAAAGAGTCTCAATCAAAAAAATAATTTAAAGTCATTTACAACCATCTTCTAAATCCGAGGTGTAAATATTTGTTCAATGCTTCTACTGATGCACTCTTTCGCGGTCTCTGGATGCAAGCACCAATGAAAGAACGGTGCTACAAGTCGTTATGCATAAGCTGGGCTCAAAAGTTCTGGTCTTTTCTCACAACCGACGCAACCCATTTCACCGTTGTATACACACCGCCGTTGCCGCTTCTTATCAATCTATATACCATTCAAACCAGCTCCTTAATGGGTTGTCAAAATCTGGTCGAGTTAACGATGCACGGAAACTGTTTGATAAAATGCCTCAAAAGGATGAATATTCTTGGAACACCATGATATCTGGCTATGTTAATGTGGGGAGACTAGTTGAAGCAAGAGAACTTTTTGATGTGTTTTCATGTAGGAGTTCCATCACATGGTCCTCTCTTATATCTGGGTGTTGTAAATTTGGGTGTAAAGCTGAAGCTTTTGATTTGTTTAGGTCAATGAGATTGGAGGGTCATCAACCTACTCAGTTCACTTTCGGGAGTGTTCTCAGGGTGTGTTCGTCGTTGGGTTTGATCCAAACGGGGGAAATGATTCATGGGTATGTTGTAAAGAATGGATTTGAATCTAATGTGTTTGTTGTTACTGGACTTGTTGACATGTATGCAAAATGCAAGTCTATTTTAGAAGCTGAGTTTCTTTTCAAGGGGTTGGGATTTGATAGGAAAAATCATGTCCTGTGGACTGCTATGGTTACTGGTTATGCTCAAAATGGGGATGGTCTTAAAGCGGTTGAGTTTTTTCGTTACATGCACATGCAAAGGGTTGAGTGCAATCAGTATACCTTTCCAACTATATTGACAGCATGTTCTTCTGTTTCGGCTCTTTGTTTTGGCGAACAGGTGCATGTTTGCATTATAAGAAGTGGTTTTGGATGCAATGTTTATGTTCAAAGTGCATTGGTTGATATGTATGCAAAATGTGGAGATTTAATCAATGCAAAGAAGGTGTTAGAAAATATGGAGGACGACGATGTTGTTTCGTGGAACTCATTGATTGTTGGGTTTGTAAGACATGGATTTGAACAGGAAGCTCTACTCTTGTTCAAAAATATGCATGGAAGAAATATGAAGATTGATGATTATACATTCCCATCAATCCTGAATTGTTGCGTAGTAGGTAGTATAGATCCGAGATCTGTTCACAGTTTGATAATCAAAACTGGATTTGAGAATTATAAACTTGTTAGCAATGCGCTTGTTGACATGTATGCCAAAACTAAGAACATGAATTGTGCATACACAGTGTTCGAAAATATGCTTGAGAAAGATGTCATCTCATGGACCTCCCTTGTCACTGGTTATGCACAAAATGGCTCCCATGAAGAATCATTGAAGATTTTTTGTGACATGAGAGTCGCAGGGGTAACTCCAGACCAATTTATTGTTGCAAGTATTTTGAGTGCCTGTGCAGAACTTACTCTTCTAGAATTCGGTAAACAAGTGCATTCCGACTTCATTAAATCAGGCCTTTGGTCGTCACGGTCAGTGGATAATTCTCTCGTAGCCATGTATGCAAAATGTGGATGCCTAGATGACGCCGATACCATTTTTGCTTCAATGGAAGTTAAAGATGTAATTACGTGGACAGCTCTTATAGTTGGTTATGCACAAAATGGTAAGGGAAGAGACTCCTTAAGATTTTACGATGCCATGGTTTCAAGTGACACAAAACCAGATTTTATCACATTTATAGGATTATTATTTGCTTGTAGCCATGCCGGTCTTGTGGATGAAGGTCGCAAATATTTTCAACAGATGAACAAGGTTTATGGAATAAAACCTGGCCCTGAACACTATGCCTGCATGATTGACCTTTTCGGGCGATCAGGAAAACTAGACGAGGCGAAAGAATTACTAGATCAAATGGATGTGAAACCAGATGCAACTGTATGGAAATCACTCCTTGCTGCGTGTAGAGTGCATGGAAACTTAGAGTTGGGAGAAAGGGCAGCTACAAATCTTTTCGACTTGGAACCTAACAATGCTATGCCTTATGTTATGCTGTCTAACATGTATTCTGCTGCTCATAAATGGGAAGATGCTGCAAAAATTCGAAGGTTAATGAAATCAAAAGGAATAGTAAAGGAGCCTGGATGCAGTTGGTTAGAGGTAAACAGCAGGGTGCATAACTTCATTTCTGATGATAGAGGACATCCAAGGGAGGCTGAAATTTATTCCAAGATCGACGAAGTTATGGTAAGAATTAAGGAAGCAGGTTATCTACCAGATATGAATTTTTCTTTGCATGACATGGATAAAGAAGGAAAGGAAGTTGGTCTTGCTTATCACAGTGAGAAACTGGCTGTTGCTTTTGGATTATTAGCTGCTCCACCAAGTGCACCAATCAGGATATTTAAGAATCTTCGAGTTTGTGGAGATTGTCATTCTGCTATGAAGTATATATCGAGAGTTTTCACTCGCCATATCATCTTGAGGGATACAAATTGTTTTCATCATTTTAGAGAAGGAGAATGTTCTTGTGGGGATTATTGGTAGCAATTTTGTTCTTAAAAAACTTTTGGGGCTTGATTACACAAAATTTGATGTTTCTGTTGTACTATCAAGGATAAATTGTTTAGGGATGGAGGAGGAAGCAAGAATACATTTTTTAAGCTGAAATTGTACATTAAGAGCTGCAAAATGATAACATATTCAATTTTAGGCCAATGATAGTTTGTATCTTTAAACATTGTTTGTTTTATTGAGAAATTTAGCCAAAAATTATAAGGGGCACAAAGTGTTTGATGCTCAAGGAATGTTTCTTCAAATTTATAGAGATTTTGTTCTTCTAGAACTGTAGTTTAACATGATTTAGCAGTTAACAGAAACAAGAGAGAAGTTGTGAAAAACTTTATAAAAAAAAAAAAGAATATGCCTACTCATTTGATTGATGATTCCACATAGCCACTTTGAGGAACAAACAAGCTGGAACTATATGAAGCATGATTAAAAGAATTGTATGAACTCATTATCTTATAAAAAATTGAGGCATACATCAATCATAAACTACTTAAAAAATGGACGTAACTCTTTTAGCAGGCACTCTACTACATCATCCATGTGATTGTCATCTGCAGGTCCTTGATAAAAAGAGGTTGCATGGTTTGAGGTTCAAATCAGTTGTATAGTCACGATTGTGCGGATTGGACAGACGGCAGAGACCTAAACTGTTAGCGAAGGTTGCATTGCTGGCCTGGTTATCTATTCATCCAAAACCAATTTACAATGCCGGAGCAAAAGAATCAACTCCGTGCATGCTCAGGAATGAGGCGCCGACGCAACTCATCGGGTGCGCCTGCCAACTCTGCAACATTTTTTTATTTATTTATGTAAGTAATCATGCAAAATTTCATTTGATCAATTGTGTTTAGTTTATCACCATGTTACCTTGAGCTGTGAAATCGAACAAAGGAGGAAGTTCTTGCCCGTTCGGTAAGCGTACATTTGGGTCCCGAAGATCATCAAAGAAGGAATGTGCACATGCATCCAACTGTAAACAAAATATAATCATCACTTCTTTTCAATGCAATAACTAAATACAACTGTACCGTGACAGAATAAACAAACAATAATGCTTTCTTACAGCAGTGCAACGTAGATTTGGCGAATACTGAAGCATCCTCGATACAAGATCGACTGCTTCAGATGGCATACTTTTGTGAAAGATCTGGGAATTACATAAGTATTAATATTTTTCAGTTACAAATCATAAGCTTCATCGGAAATTAGGAAGTAAAGAGCTACTAACCTTGTGCCACGGGTGAGCTTTAATCTGAGGAAATTTGAATTCAGTGTAATTTGGATTCATGCACTTTATTTCTTCTCTGGTTGGTGTTCCCAAAATCTGTAGAACATAAATTACGCTCACGCTCAGATTGAAGATAAAAAAACAAACAGAAAGCAACTTTCAAGAAGAAGCCGATAAAGCAGAGACAAGACAGAGAAATTTACCTTAATGATCTCTACCAACTGATCAACCCCACTCTCCCCAGGAAACAATGGCTGCAATAACATAACTTAGTCAATATAAGAATCAATCTAATAATGTGTCACATTCTAAATTAATCTCTACATATTCTGAAGTTGATTGCTTACAAATGATATTAACACACGCTCGACAAATTCTCACCTGTCCTAGAAGAAGCTCAGCCAAAACACAGCCAGCAGACCAAACATCAATAGCAGTTGTGTATTCCGTTGCGCCAAATATAAGTTCAGGAGCTCTATAATACCGCGAGCATATGTACGATATGTTGGGTTCACCGGGCATCTAAAAGATCAATAAATCATAAGGTCGTGCACGTACAATTTTCAAACTGATAAAGAGGAAATAAAAACGAATCTTACCAACATTTTCGCACTCCCAAAATCACATATCTTTAAGTGATGACTTGTAGGATTAACCTGCGTTGCAATCAACACAATTAGTATTTTGTAATATATAAAATACAATTCCAAACAAGAAAATTTGAAAGATAAAAAGGAATTCATACCAATAGATTTTGAGGTTTGATGTCACGGTGGCACACTCCAACCACGTGGTGCATATAATTTAAACCGCGGCATATCTGCACAAGAGTTTTTTACCATGATCAATCAATAAAAGCACAGAAGTAACAAGGCCAGAGAAAATGGCTGGAACCCTAATAATTATCGACTAAATTTTTAGATTACCTGATAAGTATATAGTTGGACATAGAGTATAGGCATGTGTTGATGCATCCTGACATAGTGCTTTGAAACTCTGTAAACAGTTTCAGGTACATACTCCAACACTAAGTTAAGGTACACCTCTTCTTTTTCAGCCGTTGAGTAAAAACAATGCTTTAGCTTAAGAACATTAGTATGTTCGAGCATACGCATAACTTGGAGTTCCCTATTTTTGTATCTCTTGTCTTGTAACACTTTCTTAATTGCAACGGCTTCACCAGTTTCAACGCACTTAGCCTACAGTTTATTCAACGCAACAGAGATAAGCAAAGAGAGTAACTTGACAATTCCATATAATGATGAAGCAAAGCAACACCAAAAGAACCGGTACCTGATAAACAACACCAAAAGAACCGGTACCAACGACACGTTCTGCCATGTATGAGATCACCTGAGCGAAGAAAAAAAGGAGTTATTGAATGTACAATATTGTAAGAGTATAGAATGGAATAGAAATTAAGGAACTGATCATAAAAATACCCGCTTTGGTTGTCCATCTCGACCTCCAATAGAAGTTGTAATTATTTGACCGGTTTCTGTTCCACTTCCGTTCACAATAGTTGCCTCCATGTCCTGTACACAGAAAATCAATTACCAAGCTCAATAATTGATTGCTTTCCGAAAGAGCTTCCAATCATGAATATAGAAACATCACACGAAAATAGAAAAAAATGAATGCCAATAAATACCTTTTCTTTGTTGTTTTTGCTTTTGTCGTCTTTAATTTTCATTTCATGTAATTCTTTTGGTAGCTGATCAACACCCGACTTCTCGGTTTTAGAGACCGCAGAAACAGTAGTATTACATTTACTAGACGTATCTTCTTGCGATGCATCTACATACTTATCCTGATTATTTCCACCTCCCTCAACACGATTTGTTTCCTCGTTTTCTTTTCCTTCGGAGCCTTGATCAAACTTGGCTCTTTTTGTGGTAGAATCTCCTCCCTAAAGAGAAACACTTAGAATTTAACTAACATTCATATAATTTTGGAAAACTTAGCATCAGGCTACAATTTAACTAACACATTTATTTATTTTTCAAAAACTTGAGCACATTTATCATCGTCCAGGACCTCTGGTTAAGCCGGAAGAGAACCCTTATCATCATCCAAGTGCTCTTGGGTGGCAGAACATAAATTTGTGAGACATTAAAATGTTTTGAATAAAAAGCATCCAAATCTCAAAAACAAAACATCAAAAAGTGGTCACAAAAACCACAAGCTCCAGATCAGCAATTATGTGCCAAAAGCATAAAAGAAAACACAAGATCCAAATTAAGGAATTATTTAAATAAATATAACAAGATTATCAAAAAAAGTAACAACAAAAAAAAATGCAACATCATGCAAAAAATTGATAAAAAAAAAATATATATATATTTCTGACATTAAACTTACAGGATCTGATGAAATAGAGGTTCTCCCAGAAGCAATGCTCTTCAACCTTCTCATCATATTCATACTTGTTAATTCCAACCCAACTCAAATCAAATCAACCAACTCAAAACACCCACAAATCAAACCTCAAATTTTTTTTTATGAAACACAAAAAAAGAGAGAGAGAATGCTTCTTCTCTCTCTCTTTCTCTTCCTTCAACCCTGATTCACTTCCCTGCAAACAACAGCAAAAATTGGAAGAGAAGAAGAGAAGAGAGAAGAGAAAAATGAAATGAAAAGAAACAAGAGAAAACACAAATCTAATGAACCCTTATTTCTCTTTCTCTATCTAAAAATTGTGTGACAGGTGTTTGTTGGAATTTGAATGGTCAAACATGAATCCATCAATTCCAATCATTCTAAGCTTCAAAGTTTGTACCTTAGTCAAAGGAAAGATATTGACCGTTGATCAGAATAGACGGTCAAGATGTTCTAGTTTTGAAAGAAAATGTTGTTTTGTTTTTTGTTTGGAAAAAGTATCTTAAGATAGAGATGTGAGACATAGACGGAATATCCGGAGGTGTTTAGATTAATGTTGTTAAGATGATGAATCATATGCGATATATTTTAGGATATGGATAACGTAGAAATGTTTAATACTTTACGTGAAAAAAAACATTAACCAAAGGTGCTAGAGTTTAGGTTAGGTTAGGCTAATCTTCATGGAATCACAGTTTTAATTTTTATTTCAGTTGTATTTAATGTTAGTACAATTGAATTTTTGAATCGAATGGCCTTTAATCATCTTTGAACCGTAATTGATTAACTTTTTTAGTTTCGGATTCAAATATAAATTCAATACAAAGTGGAACGTCTAGTCTAACTCTCTAGACCAAAACTTTATTGATAAATTTTGAATAGAATGTCCTCCATGACAATAATTGTTGATGACATCTTTTGTAGACTACTTTCAAGTAATGTTTGAAATTTTAATTAGTTATTTTTCTCTGCTTATTATTGTAATTAATTTCTTTTTGTTATTTTATATTTATCAGGAAATTCGACTAATAATTTAATTAAATTTATAAACTCAATCAACTTAAGAATTTTTTTTTATGAGATGATAAGTGATTCTTTCTAATTTAATTAATGATTATAGACAATTTTATTAGGGGTGGAAAAATGAGTTGTGGCTCTCCGGTCAGGTTTCGCACCCGCTAAAAAATAATGGTTGTCGCACCCTATCTTACACACATGTTGCAGTCCGCCCAGTGTACCTGTCGGGTCGGTCTGCGAGTCATCCAGTAAATCTCATGTGCAACGATGAAAAATTGAGTTCAAGCTATTGATTAACTTAACTCACAAAACAAAAGTCGCCACCGCACTTTATTGTCTCCAAAGAAATGAG